AAGAATAAGATGCAATGAGATGATATTTACTGCATTGTATTACATGCCCATTATATTTATAATGAGGTTCGATATGATACCAAACATTATCAAGTAAATGTCTGACAAAACAGAATATTCTTCGCAATAGCTGATTTTATTACATTCACAATTTAAGTACTTCTTGTTTGTTAATCCATCACAATTTTAGATTTTTAAAGCTGTAAAATTCAACTTAAACAACAAATATGTTTTTATTACTACTTCATCAGAATTTATATGGCATTTCGCGAGATTGCACAGTGATGTATCTAAGTATCGTCAGTCATCTTTAACGTCACCTTAAAGGTCTGTTGATAAGAACCGACATGTTTTTTTCTGTTTTCAATAGATTTCGATACGTAGATTGCAATAAACTCAAAAATAAAACAAGAAATGTCGAACGACACATATCCCCCTTTCTAGCCCTTGACTCACATTATTAGTATTTTGTTATAAAACTTGCCATAAATGGGTACATGGAAGTGTTCAATTATGGAAAAAGAAAAATAATGAAGATTTTGTGATAAATAGTTTTCAAACCATTCTGAAATTTAAGGCACCTGTGACCTTGACCTTTGACCTAGATAACCCAAAATCAAAAGGGGTCATCTACTAGTTATGACCAACCACTAAGTGAAATATGAAGACTTTGCGATAAATTGCATTCAAGATAATGAGCGGAAACAAGGACCATGTGATCTTGACCTTTGACCTAGTGACCCCAAAATCAATAGGGGTCACCTACTAGATATGACCAATCAGTATTTGAAATATGAAGACTTTGTGATAAAAGTTTTCAAGATAATCAGCGGAAACCATTCTGACATTGAAGGCCATGTGACCTTAAATTTTGACCTAGTGACTTCAAAATAAATAAGGGTCATCTACTAGTTATGACCAATTACTATGTGAAATATGAAGACTTTGTGAAAAATGGTTCACAAGATAATCAGCGGAAACCATTCTTACATTTAATGCCCCTGTGACCTTGACCTTTGACCTATTGCCTCAAAAACCAAGTGAAGTCATTTGCTATGTATGACCAATCACTATGTGAAATATGAAGACTTTGTGATAAATTGTTTTCAAGATAATCAGCGGAAATCATTCTGACATTCAAGGCCCCTGTGACCTTGAATTTTGACCTAGTGACCCCATCATCAATAGGGGTCATCTACTAGTTATAACAAATCACTATGTGAAATATGAAGACTTTGTGATAAATAGTTTTCAAGATAATCGGCGGAAATCATGTGGTCTACAGACGGACAGACCGACATTAGCAAAACAATATACCCCTTCTTCTTCGAAGGGGTAATACAAAATGTTTCAATATCTAACATGATTTAGAAAGTCGATTTTTTTCAGTAACGCGATTGGTAAATTCCGTCCCATTTTCACCGATGACGTAGGCATATCTCTACCTTATTTTGTTGACCCGTATGTTACTTATACTTTTTTTTCGCTAATACATCAAAATAATTGTCTATTGTTTAATGGTACATGTATTTATCGTGTATTCCATGTTTTTGTTATAAACGAAGATTATGAAAAACAATTTAACTATTTATAGCTACTTTAACTGAGCGTCCATTAACGCCGCCAATATGTAAATACAAATAGCCATTCAATTGTAAACAAATAAATTAAGAAAGAAAGATAAAAAGAAAGAAAGAAAGAAAACAAAACAAGGGGTCAAGCGGGCCCTGGATTGCTCACCTGAGCAATAGGTCAAATGGTCACAGTGGAGCCCCTTTCACCCCAGAAATACAATTTGAAAACAAGGGACAGCTTAATCTAATCAATTTTTGTACACTGTCAACAAGGAGATTTTTGTGTAAAATTATTTCAAAACTAAACCAGTGCTTTAAATGATGTTTAAATGTGTTTTTTCCGTAATTTTAGAGGACAACTTGATGACTTTACAAAACCAAATATCAAATCACTAGGTCTTGCTAGTTTTAGAAGAAGAATATAATAGGTTATCATAAATAACTCTAAAAAACTAACCAAAGTCCCTTGTAGGTCAAGGTCCCTGGTTGGCCCTTTTGATCCAAGGGGAATAATTTGAACAATCTTTGCAAAGGACCACTAGATGATGTTATATGCCAAATATCAAAGATCTATATAGCTCAGGTAAAATTGATGGCCTGGACCCTGGAGGGGTCGCTTTTGACTCTAGGGGCATAATTTGAACAATATTTGTAAAGGTCCACTAGATGATGGTGGATATGAGTGTCTTAATTTTATTTGTGTGATCTCAATAAACAGAAGTTTAATCATTAAAGATAATGTAACACAATTCTTTATGGTTTTATATAATAAATATAATGCTCAAATGAAGATTTAACAATATTGTAAGTTCCAAAATCATTATTTGTAAAGATATAACCGAATTTACATGTTCATGTTAATAAAGGGATCTAATTAGAAATCTATTTTCTATAAAGTCTAAGTCAAATATTTAAATAAGAAACGAATGCATATATTTTAATGATTACATATTTTGCTGCCACTTGGCGAAAGTCAACCTTCAAAGTATGACATTTTTTCATATAATGGTACAAAACACAGAAGAAGTCGGTTTTCTCAAATTCATATTTATTATTCTTTGATCTGTAGATGAGTGAATGACTATCTGCTCTGCAGTACAATATCATATGTGACGTCATACGACATGTGAAGACATGTGATGAATTATGTGGTTTATTTACTGCAAAATACAAACAATAATCTTAATATTATGACTAGAAGTACAACCAATATATGACTAGAAGTTCAATCAATAGAGTATTAAATTGCTAACATCAATATCACTTTATAAATTATAGAACAAACTTTTTGGGTACGAATCTTTTGAGTACGAATGTTACCGACTACAAATTAAGATATTCCACAAAGAGTTTAATTACGAACAATATGTAAGTAGAAATAATAGTTGGGGTGTATAGATTACTTATACATACACTGCACTGTACAAGTAGCATAAAACGACGTATTTAAGAAACATCAGCGAAAAACCTGAATTGGGTGGCACGTGGATCATGGAACGTTTTACGACTAAAATTATGGTACCGGAAAACTGAAAGTCATCTCAAGTGCGGCTGAACAGAACTAAATATTGACAGAATGCAATCTGCACACTCCCCAGCTGTTATTTCTTAAAATAACACTTCCAAAAACAAACAAAATTTAACTACATTATAATACATAATAATGGCTGACAAATGTCAATCTTTAATAAAGTTTACAAAAACAAAACTTCTCCCCAGCTTTGCTTTAAGATCATGTGTTTCACAACAATTTTCAAATATCGACCTAGTTAACGTTTCCTGATTGAATTTCCTTGATAAATTAAATAATCAATGTTTTGTGTGAAATAGAACAAATTCAACTAATCATTACATTTTCTATTGAATGAGACAAAAAGATATTTAACCTCATCGTATACATGACCGCACATGACAAAATACCGAGAGTATGTCGGTAATAGAGTTGTGCCGGTAATACAAATTAAGAATCTACTGCAAATATTTGTCCACAATTTATGCAATCATTAAAATAAATGCATTTATTTCTTATTGTAAATAATTTGAATTACACTTATGAAAAATAAATTTCTTATTAACTTGAAGTGTAAGTTTGGTTATATCTTTACAAATAATACTTTTGGAACTTACAGTATTGATAAATCTTCATGTAAGTACTATACTTATGATATAAAACCATAAAAAAAATGAGTGACAGGATTTTAAAAGTCTATCTGTTCCGCTGAATATTAGAAAATATCCCACTATACATTGTCGCTTCAGTATTGACTAGATCACTAACATTTGACTAGTAAAACAAGTTCATTGACAGGCCTTGTATAATAAACCTTTTTCTGTCCCTTTGTAACACAAATTTCAACTTTTCGTACAAAACCATCTTTACTTGGGAAAGTACGAGCAACCCTAGCCATTGGCCAAGAATTACGAGGTACTTCAAAATCCTTTAAAAGTACAATATCGCCCACCTTGAGGGAACTTTGCTCCTTTTGCCAGACTCTACGTCCTTGCAAAGTTTGGAGATATTCTTTTCTGCAACGGGTCCAAAACTGACCAGCAAGAACTGGATTTGTTTCCAGTTACTCCTGTACATATCCTTCACATCCATCTGTCCTACTTGGAATTGATCACACTCAAGTTTTTGGGTGAGAAGGGATGAAGGGCTTAAAATTGCTGGGCTTTCTGGATCATTCGAAACAGGGACAATTTGGGCGTGCATTGATTATTGCTGAAACTTCAGCCATGACAGTGACTAAGACGTCATGTGTCAAGTTTTTGACGTTAAGCAAAATGGCTTCAATGATGCGACGTGCAACACCTATCATACGCTCCCAGACCCCTTCCATGTGTGAACTATGAGGGCTGTTAAAGACCCACTTACAACCTTCAGAATGTAGGAAACATTGAGTTTTCTCGTCCTCAATGTTTATGGCTTGAATATTCAGAAGATCAGTAGCACCCACGAAATTTGTGCCCCTATCGGATCTAAACTGTTTGACCTTGCCACGAATAGAGATAAATCTGCGCAAAGCATTTATGAATGCGGACGATGACATTTCATCTATAACTTCAATATGTACAGCTCGTATTGTTAAACATGTAAACAGTACAGCCCATCTTTTGGAAGCTGCATGTCCATCACGAGTACGCCGAGCTACTACTTCCCAGTGGCCAAAAACATCTACACCAACAAAACTGAAGGGTGTGGCTTGTTCGACTCTATCTGAGGGCAAGTCTGACATTTTTTTAACCTCAAATCGACCTCGAAGTTTCTTACAAATTACACATGCTTGAATTACGGAAGAGACCAATCTTTTCCCCCCTGTAACCCAAAATCCAGCTGCTCTCACAGCACCCTCAGTGAATGATCTCCCTTGATGACGGACCCCATGTTTATGGTAATGTTCTATCAATAGTCGTGAAATAGGGTGTTTACCTGGGAGGAGAATAGGGTTTTTTTTCCGATACAGATAATTTACTGTTACCAAGGCGACCACCAACACGAAGTATACCATCACAGTCGATTTTAGGGTCTAAATTCAAGATACTACTATCCCTATGCAATGGTTTATGCTCAGAAAGAAGATGGATTTCTTTGGCGTATACTTCATTTTGAACCTTCCTAAATATGTACAATTTGACCTTTTCGACAAAGTCGACATCTTTAGCCTCGGGACAAATATGCCAACCTTTACATGGCAAGTTCTTATGATAAGATACTGCAATGTGCCTCAGAGTAGAAACAGCTCTGACTAATCTATCAAAGGAAGAGAACTTCTCTATAATACCATTAAGTGACATTTCTTGAGAAACATTGGTCAACAGGGTATTTACTACAGGGCGTACCTCTTTATCAAGGTCTGGGTTTAACAAAGGAAAGCAATCCAAACCAGATTTCTCATCTGCCAAGGGGAGGAGTTCTGGCCCTTTTAACCAAGAACTCTGTTTCAATTGCTCAACACTTGCACCCCTACTACCGATATCAGCTGGATTTGACTCTGAAGGAATATAATGCCACTGACTAGACTTGCAAACATGCAAAATCTTCTGAACACGATTGCTCACATATTGGTAAAATCTCCTAGTTTTATTACATAGGTATCCCAGTACAACTTTACTGTCAGTGTAAAACTTGACTGAGTCAAAACAGACATCAAACTGTTCATCAATAATTTGATACAAATGAGCAGCTAATACAGAACCACAAAGTTCCAACCTAGGAATGCTATGACCTTTGACAGGGGCAAGTTTGCTTTTACCCATGATGAAACCTACATGACGCTGGCTATCAGATGAGTAATTTACGACATATGCCACAGCACATCTGAAAATATGTGAAGTTCGAGTCTAGACATAAGACTTAAAGAATCCACAAAATATGTTCTAGCAATGTCTATTGACATGACATCAAGTAACCTTTCTGTCCAATTTTCCCATTTCTTAGCTATTTCTACAGGAATGGGATCATCCCAGTCTACCTTAGTTGACACAATGTCACGAAGAATAAATCTGCCCTCTAAAACAACTGGGGCCAAGAATCCTAGTGGGTCATAAAGACTATTGATTGCTGACAGAACACATCTTTTAGTAACTGTGCGAGTTGACAAGTCAACCTTGAACATAAAATTGTCATTTTCTATGTTCCAAACTAAACCCAAACTGCGCTGAATTGGTAATGTATCACAATCTAAATCAACATCTTTGAGATCTTTTGCTAGATCACTAACAGGGAATTGCTTTAAAACATCATGACTTTTAGAAGCAATCTTGTGTAAACGTAACCTATTGGCTCTCAAATCATTTTGAGCCCTTGAAACCAGACCTACGGTCTTTTCTACTGAGGGTTCAGAGGAAAGTGCATCATCAACATAGAATTGCCTGTTCACAAATATTCTAACATCCTCGTCAGAATTGTCAACAGATTTTTTGAGACAGTAGGTGGCTATAGCTGGTGAGGGACTATTACCAAATACATGTTTGCACATCCTGTACTCTACAATTTCTTTAGATGGGTCATTATCTTTGAACCATAGAAATCTGAGCAAATTTCTGTGATCTTCTCGGACACTAAAGGAATAGAACATCTGTTCTATATCTGCTAATATAGCAATGGAATCCTTTCTAAACCACATCAATGCTTTTTTATCCGAGTCTTTTTGGAGACTTTTGACCAAGGTACTAGATCTATTTATAGCCTGTGACCTATTATTGGGTAAGCGTGGCCTACCTGAACGTAGAGGTAATGGGGCAACCCAACCTCCATCAGGATTCCTTTGAACCTGAGAGTCCATAATCTCAAGAAACTCTCTATCGTCAACAGACAAAGAGGGTTTGTTGTCATTAGGAGTTTGAATAAACACCGGATCTTGTACAGACAAAAGGTGATCACAACAAGGTTGAAATAGAGAGGCTCTACCATCCTCAAGTAGATAAGTTTTGTTTACATTTACAACCTCATTTGCATGAATTTTGCCGACACATAACTGACCAATTACGACCCAGCCCAGACCAAGCTTTTGGGCAAATGGCGTTCCAGCTGGACCTAACACTTGATCCAGTACATGATGGGCTTCTAAACAATCACGCCCCAACAACAACAAAATATCAGCATTTTCATCATATTGAGGAATTTGATCCGCAATATGTTGTAAATGATGATACCTCCTTGCGTTTTCTGGCTTACAAATTTCATCTTTGTCACAAGGATTTGTGCACATTCAATTAGAGTTGGTAAATTGTAAATACAAGACCTATCAAGTGACTGGATGACAACATTGTTGGCTCTACGACCACTGACCATCATGCTACCATGACATGTTTTAAGCAGGTATTCATGACTTTCACCTTGACACTCTAACAAAGACAAAAGTTTAGGTTTGATTAAAGACCTATTGCTTTGCTCATCAATTATACAATAACATTTAACAGTATTTTCAACATTGTTCTCTAAATAAGCATTTACAAGGATGATTTTTGAACATGATTTTGTCTTTTCGTTACTTAAAGAACCGCAAATTTCAGTACACTTAGATGCAACTACTCTTGTCTGTTCTTGTTGGTCACTTCTATCCGTAACTTCATTTGTAGCTGGTTGAGACTCTGAAGACTTCCTATGGTAAGAATCTGCTGCATTCTCACTTTCACTTTGTTTCGCAACATTTGAGAGAATATTTTCACTTTTAGAACATGATTTGGCTCCATGCTGACTAGAACCACATTTGAAACATAACCTTTTCTCAAAAAGAAACTTTTTCTTCTCCTCTATTCTAATGACTTAGCAAGAAACACTTTACACTTTGACAGCTTGTGGGGTGTCCTATGTATAGGACACTTGTTGTCGGAATATGTTGTTTACCGTGTGACTACTTTCTCACCCCTTGTTGATTTAGATGCTGACATGTATGATGTGGTAGTAGCTGCTCCTTCATAAACGAAGCTTGGATTGTTACGAATTTTACTCTGCTCACGTATGAAGGCTGAAAATTCACTGAATGGAGGAAACAGTTCCTTGTATTTTTCCTTGTAATATGTTGCTCTCATTGTCCATTTCTCTTGTAGATTAGTTGGCAGCTTGCTCACGATTGGATTAATACAGATGGCAGTGTCAAAATACGACAAAACTGATACAAAGTTGGGGTTATACATTAAACCCTCAATTTCCGATAGAATATCAGATAAGTCATATAATTGCGACGGTTGTTTGGGATTCAGTCTTGGAAACTGATCTAACTTGTTCGTAACGACCTGATAAGTCAATTCTGGCGAACCGAAACGCTCATCCAATCGCTCCCAAATCTTGGTTAGTGCTTTGTTTGGATTTGTAATATATGCGCACTTGAGCGACATAGCTTGACGTTTGGAATTGGGTCCAAGCCATTTCAACAGCAAATCGATTTCCTCATAAGAATTTGCTCCAATTTCTAACACGATGCTTTTGAAAGTTTCTTTCCATCCATGGTAATACTCGGCCTGATCATTAAACATAGATAGGCGTGTCAGCAACATATCCTTCTTCAGAAGATATTTTGATAAGTCATAGTTCATATCTGTATGATGATCAGCTACACTCTGATGACATGAAGGCGGATAAAACATTTGAGCTAAGGGTTAAGCTTTTTGTCACTAGAAACCCCTGTAACATAATTAGCAGTTCTAAGTTGTGAGTTATCTGTTGGAAGATTCAATGGTTTGCCGCTATTGTCTGAATCGTCACAGCTTTCAGAATCTTCATCTTCTGCCAGTAACCTGAGCTCTTCTTTTTCACGTAATAGTCTCTTTTTCACTTCAATGGCTTCGAGATCGAGTGCAGCTACTTTTTCTGCATAATCTACCTTACTGGCCTTACTAGCTCTGCTAGTACGAGACTTGCTGCTTTTCTTTGAGACTGTTGAATGTGCACCAAGGTCATCACGCAATATTTTCAATCTGTCCAAGAATTCTCTTACAGTATTTCTTCTTTGCTCAAGTACTTCATTCAGAGTTTTAACTTCAAACAAACTTTCACTGGTATTTACAGACGTTAAATAATGTAAAAACTCTGCAGACACTTTGTCAAAATCTGTAAACAAATTGATAACTGTAGATTTCACTGATTTTAAAGTCAAAAGGTGTACATCTTTGTCTAAGTAATGTGCTTCATCAGAACCTCCCATCTCTGTTCTAGTTTCTTGCGATGCTTAGTAACAATTTCTTCGAAGATTTCCATTGCTTTGGGCACTAAAGTTCTTATGCGAACAGGTTTCTTAGACATCAACAAGCTGATAAAGGTGTAGAATTACACTGAAGTAGTGACAGACTCATAATAGTATAATTACTATGCAGTACAACAGTAAACGAGATATAAACTTTGCTGCCACTTGGCGAAAGTCAACCTTCAAAGTATGACATTTTTTCATATAATGGTACAAAACACAGAAGAAGTCGGTTTTCTCAAATTCATATTTATTATTCTTTGATCTGTAGATGAGTGAATGACTATCTGCTCTGCAGTACAATATCATATGTGATGTCATACGACATGTGAAGACATGTGATGAATTATGTGTTTTATACTGCAAAATACAAACAATAATCTTAACATTATGACTAGTAGTACAACCAATATATGACTAGAAGTACAATCAATAGAGTATTAAATTGTTAACATCAATATCACTTTATAAATTATAGAACACTTTTTGGGTACGAATCTTTTAAGTACGAATGTTACTGACTACAAATTAAGATATTCCACAAACAGTTTAATTAAGAAAAATATGTAAGTAGAAATAATAGTTGGGGTGTATAGATTACTTATACATACACTGTTGTTGTGTACAAGTAGCATAGAACGACGTATTTCAGAATCATCAGCGAAAAACCTGAATTGGCTCGCACGTGGATCATGGAACTTTTACGACTAAAATTATGGTACCGGAAAACTGAAAGTCATCTCAAGTGCGGCTGAACAGAAGTAAATATTGACAGAATGCAATCTGCACACATATAATGTGCACAAATATTTGCAGTACATATTTTACATATTCTTCGATGTTTGAAAATTGTTTTAGAAGCATAATTATATACAAAGATGAAATTTCACTTAAGTGTGGTAACAACCTTAATCACAACATACAGGATCTTTAACAAAGTCAAGAACATGTAGCAATAAAAGAGGTAAAGCAGTCAAACACCAAACAAAGAGATCAGTGAAACGGTGGATAGGGTGCTTGGAAAAGGTAACAAAGATAGCAGAAATTCAAACGAGTGTTCAATCCAGATTTATATTGATCGTAATGCTATCAAACCATCCGAGTAATTTCCAAATGGACAATACAGGTACCGGTTATTGATTCCACCTTTTCCCGCATCCCCGTATCAAGGATCGCAGACTTATCAGCATCTTCAGCCAACTTCACCCCGTCAACTGCAACTAACACTGACATCCAAACCAAACTAATAGAACTTGTTTACAAAATTGACTCACTTTTACAATCCATAGAGAAGAGTGTGTCTTAAAATACAATCAAAAACGATATATCGCACATTTGAAATGAAATATCCTGCTTAAACAGTGCAAATCATGAAAAGAACACCCAAATGAATGACAAAGACACTTTTTGTCAGACCATTTATGACCTATCAGATAGATTTAATGAACACCAGTATATAGAGGATATTTGTTTGTTTTGCATGTAAGATTGAAATATAATTTCACTGAGTGAACACCAGATGAAATATTTTCACGAGTGGCGTAGCCACGAGTGAAAATATAACAGCTGGTG